ATACATTATTTTATAAGCAATGTCTACCTGTCACGTACACACGTCCTTGTCCCAGCTGTGGGATATGTCAAAGGTCTGAAATAAATATATAGGACATTTTAAATAAAAATAAATTAGCTAAAGCTATGCTTGTATTAGACAAAAATAATGTTTGATTGTGTTTTAAAAATTAAAAACCTGTAAGTGACTTAAAATGACAGTGTAAGAGTTTAAAGTGATGTGATAGTTGAAGTGTTAAAATGGCTGAACATTGGTCGTGGCTAACTGGTGCTGAAGCGGGCGAGTACACTTACAGCCCGCCCACGCGTCCAAGCCGCCCGCCCCACAGGCCACTCGTCAAGTTAGCCACGAGCGCCCATCTTCACACTATCGCCAGGTAAGTTATTCTTTTGTAATGTTTTGACGGGCTCTTGTCAATCAACGGGTCGTTGGTTCAAAAATAATGGGTCCCCCAATTTTTACAAGCCAATTTACAATTATTCTGAAATATTAGACATTGTCGGGAAATCTATTTTAGGGTCTATTGTAGGATATTATTAGGAATACAATATTTCCATATGAAAAGTCTGAGTTATTGCGTTTCGGGTCTAGTCTGTAGATTTTTATAACAATTGCCACATTTCGGAAACAGATAAATTAAATGAATCATTTTTAACGGGTTGAAACGCGAAATATGAAAATGAATCAAAATTATCTATCACCTCCAACGCTTTAAAAAATATTATTATAAATTCAAAGGTGTTTATTACCTTTGAAACTTTCTATACCAATTGTCACATTTCGGAAACAGATAAATTAAATGAATCATTTTTAACGGTTTGAAACGCGAAATATGTTAACTTATTTTTAATTCATTTTTACTACGTCGCGAAGAAGGAGGGTGTCCCTAATGTCAGTCAAAAGTGAATCCCGTTAATTTTTATACAGATATTATTCCTTATTATACACTTTCACATATTATCTAATGTCTGTTAATTAGTATAAAGTTATTCTAGAACAAGTAGTGAAAACTATTACCAATTAGTATCTACGTGAAACCACGTTTTAAAGGAATTTCTTGGCCTGTTCAGGTTTGTGAGCTAATCAATACAGAGCAGACTAGTTAAGTCTGTTCCTAAGAAGGAATTAATACCGCAGTGAGTTATATTATGCTAATATAAACATGAATATCATTTTATATCCTTATCTGTGATTGGTATGGAATGTCTAGAGAAGAGAAAGCTAATCTTGGTGTATATGGTGTAATGACTAGAGTAAAATAAACTATATTTTTATTATTCACACTAAAATAGAGCACTTTAACGGTTTAAAACGCGAAATATATAACCTTATTTTTCAATTAAATTTTCCGTAGTTACTGGGGCTGCGGCATAACATCCATCAAGCTGTAATTAAAAATAAGTAAACTAAATTTTTTTGCGTTTAAAACTGTTAAAAGTGTAATTAAAAGTGCTCTACTTGCTTAAACTACATAATATATAATACCTTACGCAGACTAAATAATGTATAAAAGTCTAATTTTAGCTAATTGGCCTGTACATCATTTCACTGGTCGATATTTCTTACAGACGTGAGGTTATTAAAATTCTGGATTTTTCTCTCGGATTCGAACCTAGGGGTCGCTGTTGCTAAAGGCATTATGCAAGTCGATCCGTCTATTCGTAAAGACGACAGCGTTGCATATAATAAAAAAAAAAAATCAATTGTCACACAAACGTACCACGAACTGACTGCCTCGATGCAAATGATACCGTATCTCACTAAGTCGAGTATTACAAAAAATAAAGATAGTGAGTTCGATTACGTCTCGTGTCATCTGTTTTTTACTATCTTTCTAAAATACTTTTTCAATTTCAAAATGTCTGCTGTCTTTCAGGATTCGAAACATGAACCACCGCACTGATATCATAATAAAGTACCCCGTGGAATGAGTGATCGTACAGTAGATTCAACTCATATAAGATGCGCGGCACGTAGCACTGCCGTGGGAGGTATAAATATTTCCCGAAAATCGCGATCTCTTTTATATGTAAATTTTTATATTTTCCCGCCAGATTGCAGCGTGTTTGTCGTTCGTTTTATTGTTTTGAAGATAAGCTCAGGTGTGTTTCGAAAATATACGTTCGGATACGTGTACCGTTGGTAAAAATAAACGGCTACAGTTATTTGAAGCGTGCACTTCAAATAACTGTAGCACTAATAAAATATTTCTATATATTGAACTAAGTAACACATTCATAAGTATTATCTGAAAGTAGCACACATTTAAATAAAACAAATTTAACAATTTAAAACCGGAAATTATATTAGTTAACTTATCGTAAATCTATTTTAACTAAACCTTAATGTTTCGGATGCTTTTCAGCAGTCGCGGTAGCATATAGTAATACATCGCGTTTTAAACCGTTAAAAGTGTTTTATTTAAGCATATAAGTTTAAGTAGATGGATAGTTTTTATTTAAATTAATATAAATATGATCGTTGGCTATGTTAGGCATACGACGAGGAGTAGGTTCCACCGGAACGATCATGATGCTAATTTTTTATTTTTTTTGAAGATGTAGTTATCCTGTCTGGAAAATCTGGATGATAATTCGGTGATAGAAAAATTTATATTCTATCCAGATGACGCACCAATGACAACAAAGTTTCGGTTGCAGTCTATGGATGTTCGAATGTCTAAACCCGAAATAGGTCCATAGCGCATCATCAACGGGTCTGGGTCCAAAATGTTTCTAAGCAATTTAAAATGTTTCTGAACCACGCTGGACTGCATCTGGAAATCTGATTATATAGGGGGTAGGAATATCGACATAATATTAAATATAGCGGAGCTTAAAACGTTTCGGTTTCAGTCTCTATATTATATAATAGGCCGACAGCGCATCTAGTTGAGATGTCATATGGATGGGGCATTTCACCTGGAACCAAGTGAACCTGCTTGTCACTTATAAAAAATAGGCAAAATAAAATCACAACATCGTTTACCCTTCGATATAATGAATAAATCATTTTTTCTGACAGTTCAGGGAGCAAGAGCTGTCAAATCCACGTTCATTAACTGACGGATTGCTTCCACGTCACGAGACATATGACAAATGGTTAAACTTGCCAGAAAAGAAAATTATAGTTCCTTGTAGGCTCGTACGGAGGGGACGAATTGCGTCAAATTTAAAAATGCGTTTAATATGGTGAACGAAACTTTGCCAGTAATCTATATAAAGAAGCTGAAGAGTTAGTTTGTTTGAACGCGCTAATATCGGGAACTACTGGTTTGAGGTGAAAAATTATTTTTGTATTGGTTGGAGCAATTATTGGAAGTCTAAAACGCGACATGTTAGTTAAACTTATTTGAAAATGATTGTTAACGGCCCGACAGTCTCACCGTGACCAAGGCTGCTCCAAAGCATCCGAAACGTCGGGCCGAAGTTAATAATCATTTTCTAAAAAATTTAACTAATATATCGCGTTTTAAACCGTTAAAGTGTTTTATTTAAATGTGTACTACTCGCGTAAACTATAGACAGTGTTTAAAAATATTCTGCTTTCCCGTTATTGAAGCTTGTGTTGCCATATTGAAGCTTAACAACCAATGATGGTTTTGGTCTGTCTGACAAACTTTTATATTTTGATATATCCGAATATCCAAAGCTAAATTAGGTCTACAGTGCATCTTATCAAGGTGTTATACGACTAAGGTGTCTCATCCATGAAGTCAACACCTTGCTTGTCTGTCCACTTCTCTCATAAAACACTAATAATGAATTCTCCAACTCCATGACCAAAGCAATAAATTCTGACAAAAGGTCAGTTCTTTCTCATCACGTTCGGCTTTGGATAAAAATTAAACTATTTCCGATCCCCCGGCGGCTGTTGCGGCAATTTGGCGGGAACCCACGTCCACGACATATGGGGAAGTGATTCTCAGGTCCCGGTCAGTGGACCGTGAGATGGGGATCGTGAGGAGAATTATAAGTACCGTTTTAAGAAATGTGCAAAACTTAAATAAAACACTGAAACGGTTTTAAACGCGAAATATGTTAGTTAAACTCATTTACGCATTATTTTAACTACGACCAGACGTTTCGGATGCTTTGCATCAGCCGTAATTAAGGGAAGTGAAAGACGTTAAAGTGTTTTATTTAATTGTGTACTACTTGCATAAATTAGACATAATGTAATGAACCAGATTTAAAATGGTTTACAATTATCTAACGACACATTTAAACACCAAATTACATAGTCATGTCTTGTGATATGCGTGGTGATAGCGTTAAGCTTGTCTATCAACCTATGTTATAAGAGATAATTAAAATATATTTGAAATATTTTTACATTTATATATGGATTCTTAAGTTGTTGAATGAAAAAATAAATACTAAGCAAAATTCTAAATTAATATATTTCACTGACTACCGAAAATATATTTTTTTTGACGTCGACAGCAAAATCAATCAAATTTAGTCAATCCGTTTAGATATGAACGTTCTTTTTACGTCTTTATGCTGAAGAACAGACAGACATAGGGTTGTCTTGCCGAACGGTGAATGGCCCAGATAGTAAATAAGATGTGCTGTCTACCCATTTTGAATCGGAAGTCTTGACAATACTTTAAACAAACATATATAGTAAAATAAAGTACAAATAAATATTGTTCATAATGCAGAACACTTTAACTAGTAGGTGTTATCTACTAAATGAAAACATCTCCAAAATAAGCTAATTTATACCTTGTCTATATGCAGTAAAGAGCAAAATAGCTTGATTATCTCTATATGATGACAAGTCTAAAATTTCCCTTTGATTGATACTTATTTTCTTTCATGGACGTCTAGATATACCTTCTAATAATCTATAATAGGTCTTATGTCCTTTTTGCCAAGAGTCATTTCTTCTTAAGCGGATATAATTACATATATTTAAGCAGAAAAAAAGTTATCCTCTCATATAATACAACCGTTGTCTATGATTTGTCGTAGTTACTGACAGAACAGAACAGAATGATTTCTAAGTGGATTTTATTGTTTGCAATCGTGTTGGTACCGAACATCGAACCTGTTAAAGGTCTGGCTGAAGTCATGAGTCATGTCACTGCGCATTTCGGACAAGCCTTAGACGAGTGTCGGGAAGAGGTAAGATAAATAACACAATAAATAAAACTATTTAGAACGAGTGGAAATGTGATTTTTTTACCTTTAAAAAAGGTTTTCGACTGCGTCTGCATTTAAATCAAATAATTGAAACGGTTTAAAACCGCGAAATATATCAGTCGTCTTTATAATTTATCCTGCGATACGTATCGCATTTTAAAACGTTAAAAATGTTTTATTTAAATGTGTACTGCATTCAGTGTAATTTTGTAGTTTAAATTATTCGCAAGTTTTGCACTCTTGCGCATTATTCAGTTTTAATTATAATTAACTTTTTCTAATCGGGTTGTCTGAAAGAGATCGCTTATAGAGATAAGTCCGCCCAGTACACTCTATACCTCGTTGTAAAAATGCATCGTTTTTTGTTTTCTTTAAGAGAATTAAACGAGTGTGGAATAAATAATGTATACACTACAAATTTAAATTGTGTTTTAACTCCTTTAAAGTGTTTTTATTTAATACTCTCTCTCTTACGTTCAAATTTTTGTTATCTAGTCAGGATTAACTTCGGAGATCTTGGAGAGTTTCCAAAAGTTCTGGAGCGACGATTTCGAAGTGGTACATAGAGAACTGGGCTGTGCGCTGATTTGCATGTCCAATAAATTCATATTGATGCAGGATGACGCCAGGATGCATCACGAGAACATGCACGATTACGTCAAGAGTTTTCCCAATGGTAAGTCTCCCCGTGACCACGGCTGCTGCAAGCATTCGAAACGTCGGGCCCTAGTTAAAATATATAGCGTTTTAACCCGTTAAAGTGTTTTATTTAAAAGTGAGTCCAGCCGACGACTTTTGTCTCTCGTCGAAAATTAATGAAAATGTCATGATAACTGTATACATAATTTGAAAACTTTTCACATGTTAGCATAATATAAACTAAAAATAGTACTTTTTTAACGGTTGAAAACACAACATAAAGATAAAATCTAAATAGATTAATTTATATCGTATTGCTTCTATTTAATGTGTTCATTTATTGGTGTATAAATGAAAAATGATTTCATTTTAAAAAATATTTGCGACACGGGCCGGACTCGAACCGGTATCCACAGGGTTCCGTGCTGTTGCTCTATGCTCTAATCAATTTAGCTACCGTATCCTAAACGTCGTCATCTTTCGCACAATGTAATTTCATAAAACGCGGTAACTCAATTGGTTAGAGCAACAGCACGGAACGCTACGGCTGCACTTCAAGTCCTGCCCGTGTCGTAAATTTCTTTTAATCTAACCAAAATCATAATAAAAGCAAATTCAATTTTTAATGTTGTGTTTCAAACCGTTAAAAAAGTTTTATTTAACTTGTTATCGTTGGTTTAGCCCTTCGTTTACATACACTAGATAATGTATAAAGTTCTCTTTGTATAATTATCTTTTTGGCTTTTTTTTATCTTGCGTTATTGTTATATCAATAATTTAAACAAATATTGATTGACACGCAGGTGATCTATTGTCGGGTACAATGGTAAATTTACTACACAACTGTGAGAAACAGTTTGACGACATCGAAGACGACTGCAGTCGAGTCGTGAAGGTGGCAGCTTGCTTTAAAGTTGATGCTAAGAAGGAAGGTATTGCACCAGAAGTCAGTATGATCGAGGCGGTATTAGAAAAGTATGTTTAGACGATACATCAAACGATATTAACCCCCCACGATAAAACGACCTTAGCGTGTATAAGCAGTCTTTTGTAAACGTAGTAACGCGTTACATAACGCATTACGCCGCAGCAGGGTGTTAACTTAGATCCTATTGGTCATTCAGTATATATATGTCTTATTATTCGTAAAAACTAGTGACGCGGAGAAAGAAATGATGTTTTCTTATGGAACACTTTGAAATGTGAATAATATTTTTTTAAAACACTAGTTGATACAACAGCGTTACTAAGTAATGAAAGGTTAGAAAAAATCTTATTTATGAAAAAACTCAATCGCAATAATGTCGTAATATAATTATCTGACAATATAGATATAATTATTTTAAAATTAACTGTACCAACTTGACAACTTGCAATTTGATAATGCTTTATTTTAGCCAACATTCCAGTAATATCTCAAAACTGCTGTAGTTTACGCGATCAGTACACATTTAAAAAAAAACGTTGAAACGGTTTAATAGCATATATTTTAGTTAAGAACTACTTTTAACTGCCCGGTCTGACTTTCGGATGCTTTGCAGCAGCCTTGGTCACGGGGAGGCACGTTCTTTTGATCCGAAACGTCGGGCCGTAGTTAAAAATAATTCATTCATTAAAAAAAATCAAATAAGTTTGACTAAAATATATAGCGTTTTAAACCGTTAAAGTATTTTATTTGAATAATATCTCAAATGTTTTACATATCCGATTTCTATTTAGAAAATCTATCGCTTTCCTAGAAAATAAGTTTAATATATTTTTTACGTAAGTCCGTGCGATTTTTAGAATAACGTACATAACAGGAATTGTATACAATTCAGATTTCATACATTTCCTGTAATACCCATTTTTATTATAGTAAGCGTTAAGCGTTTATGGGAGACGAAAGCCTAAATGAATTTGAATTATATGCATGATTAATGTTGGAGTTTTATTTGAAAAATTTCCTTGTATAGCCAACTCAAGTAATTAACACGTAAAATCGATTACTACCACGACGTTTCATATGTGAACAAAAAAAAATCAAGCAATGGAAGTAATGCAAAGGTTTAGCTACAGTTTTGGTACTAAAATGTTTCAGTGCCAGGATGGGGTAAAGTTTTGGAATACATTTTAAAGCCAATTTAATTATTTTAGTTTCAGCGTGTATTCGAATGTCCAAAGCCAATTTATATAACCGCGCTTGTAAGATGTTATAAAGCTGAGGTATTTCTCCTTCCAGCATGTTTAAAACGTGAAATATATTGGTTAACTAACAATTTATGTTAACCACATTTGCCTTGCAGCTGCCGAGGAAGCTGACTGCTGCAATTTAAACTAAGTAATACTTTACGCGTTTTAAACCGTTAAAAGTTTATTTAAATGTGCCCTACTCGCGTAAACTACAGACCTTGGCTGTATGCTTGTCTGTCCTCTTCTATCTTAAAAAATAGTTGAAGTTATGTAAAGTTAAGATATATAGTATAACTTTTGTTACACAGCTGATCCACTCAAACGCTTTAACTTCAGATATAGTTAACTTCTGGAATGAGAGCCACAGTTTGGACCATGTAGGCTTCGGGTGTTTGGTTTTTTGCTCTATGGTCGCCTTGGACCTTGTTGGAAGCCATGGTGAACTGGTCATTGACAACGCTGAAGGGTTTTTAGCAGCCAAGGGCGCTGGTGATTATAATTCTTACTACTTTTTGCATTTATGGCATTAAATACTGTCTGTAGTTTACGCGAGTAGTACATATTAAAAAAAAATTCTTTAAACGGTTTTAAACGGGGAGTGCAATTGCTCCAAAGCATCCGAAACGTCGGGCCGTAGTTAAAATAAGTTTAACTATACATAAATTAGTTAAAATTGTTTTATTTAAATTTATTTATCAGTACATCGCATTCTGATTTTGATGTTTGTTTAAAGAAAACATTGTTAAAGTTGCCATGTTTTAAATATTAATCGCAGACATTTCTTTACTTCTAGTTTTAACGGCTCCAAGACATATTGATTAAACGCGAACCGAGGTTCTGGGTTCAATGCCTGAGATAAAAATAAAATTTTGTCGTGCAGATACAAATAAATAAAATCGGACAGTTAAAGTGACATTTGCAATAAGTCTAATTGCAATTTTAAAAAGGATTTAAACAAAACCCTTTAACGCGAAATATTTCTGTAAACGAAATTTTTAACTTGACATTAACTGAAGTAAAAAATTACGTTTATTAAAATATTTTTCGCAGTTAAGCCGTTAAAAGTGTTTTATTTAAATATGTATTACTCGCGTAAATAAAAGGATTGTTGGACATTAATTTTAAATTAAGCTCGTTCTTTCTAGAAATATTTCTATTGTTTTATGTCTGTTACTTTTATAAACAGATGATGAAATGACGAAAGCCATCTTAGATATATCTGATACCTGCGCTGGGGCTGTTACTCATACTGACCACTGCATTGCTGCTATGGAACTTGCGGACTGCTTTCGACAAGGGATCTGGAAAACGGGCTGGTCTCCTGATATACAACCGCTTCTAAATATGAGAAGGAGAGCTTGTTAATATTACGGAACAGATGGCGCTAGCGTAGCAATTTTCACTTTGACGTCAGAGACATCCTCCATCTTTAGTCTCCCCGTGACCAGGGCTGCTGCAAAGCATCCGATTCGTCGGGCCGTTGTTAAAAATAATTAAGTAAATATGTCGCGTTTTAAACCGTTAACGTGTTTTATTTAAATGTGTAGTACTCGCGTAAACTATAGACAGTACTTTACTACTTTGTGTTTGCAATACAAGATCGGTACACTATGTGAGCTCGTTGGTGTAATGGTAGTACGTAATAATTAACGGGTCACGTATTCGATTCCCATCGGGTTTCACACTTCTAATCAATTAAAAAAAAATCAGAAACATGTTGGACTGAAAACTAGATATTTAATGGGTGTTAGAAATATCAAAAATACCCCCCCCCCCGCTCACAAACCACAAATAAAAAACCGTCAATTCTCATCACGTTTCGGTTTGAGTCTGTATATTTCCGAATATCGAAAGCGCCATCTTGTTTAGATGTTATAAAACTAAGATATTTTACCTTCCATGAAGTGAACCCCGCTTATCTGTTCTCCTCTATAATAAAAAAGCCACACTTCATACAATTTATCCTTCATAACGATTACACCTGGTTGCCAATTAATTACCAGTTAACCAGTTATTAACGTTAACAACTGCTCTGGCCATTAAATCAAACCTTTATAAGGCACAGATACCAGAATCAGTGACATTAAGATGAGTAGTGGCCATGGGGAAATTTGTTTCGTTCGTGTTGGCAGCACTGTGCGTGACTTACGCTGTGGCTTCAAGAGAAACATTGAAAAGCATAGCTTACAGTTTCCTGAAAGTTCTGGATGAGTGCAAACATGAGGTTTTTTGTGTTTTCATAATATTCAGTGTGGGTTACGCTGGTGCACATTTAATAAAACACTTTTAACGGTTCAAAACGCGTAATATAAATTGTAAATAAGTTTAACTAATAATATTCGCGTTTTAAACCGTTCAAACTGTTTTATTATATGACATATTTCACCTTGAATGATTTCTTAAGCTACGAAGGATATTTAAATTAAACACTTATATATTAAGGTTGAATTCATATTGCGCGAGAGGTGCAAGCATTAACCCGTAAAAATAATCGATGAGACACCGCTGCTCAGTTAGAACAACAACAAATACCCCGTGCCATTGATGTTTTCAATCCAAAATGCGTTTTCATTGAATTTTCTTTGATCCATTAAAATTGTAAAACTAAAATAATTTTCAGTTAAATCTACACGAAAACATTTTAGTAGACCTATATCACTTTTGGAAGGAGGAATACGATGAATTGAAGCGAGATACGGGGTGTGCTATCATGTGTATGAGCCAGAAACTAGAGCTCGTTGATAGGAGTGGAAATCTTCATCACGGAAATGCGCAAGAGTTTGCCTTGAAGCACGGCGCAGGTAACATAAACAATAATGGCTTAGTATCAAACATTGCAGTTGCATTCAGCTTTATAATGAAAATTGTAGAAACTTTATTTGAATACTAGCTGTGACAGCGGCTTCGTCCGCGTAAAATAGTTATTTTGGACAAAATGTTTTTGCAATCCTCCTCCTCATCTTTATAAATTATACCTGTTAACGACGTCGTTCCCGTCGTTCTTCCTAGTTAATCTTAAAAGATAGATATGTTTTTGTATATATTTTTGTACATATTATATTATAGAAGAATCATTCTAACACACGTGTCTTTTTTGGTATTCTGAACCGTTTTCGCAGCGCACGCAACGCTCAAAAAGTAATAATTTATCAAATTAATAAATAGATACTTTTTTTAACTACACCTTTTTTATTTCTAAAATAGATCGCGTTTAGAACCGGTAAAAATGGTACAAGTTTTACGCGCTGCTACACTTTTCTTTTCTTTAATCTATTTCTGTTGCGCTAGTGGGGGCTGGTTGACGATAGCCCATAGGTAATCTTTTCTTTAGGGCCTAATAAACACCTCTAATATAAAATAGTAGTTGTAAATAATAAATACACTTGCAGAAGAAGAGGTAGCTCAGAAACTGGTGAACATGGTGCATGACTGTGAAAAGCAGCACACAGTGCAAGATGACTCCTGTCTACGCGCGCTTGAAGTAGCCAAGTGCTTCAGAAGTGGGATTCACGTCCTGAAATGGACTGCCCCCGTAGAAGTAATGGTGGGGGAGGTGTTGACTGAGGTCTGAGTGCCTTAATAAAAAAATGTTCAATGTGATGTTTTATTTTCTTGCTTCAGAATACGATAAAACCATACATTTTGTAATATTTATAGCCAAAATTAAAGTTAAACTTTAAATTTACATCATACAATCTCACACAAAAATATTTTTTAATTCGAAACAGTAATTCCCGAGATTAATGTGTTCAAACATACAAACTCTTCACTTTTTAATTCTTTGTAATTTATTTTATTTAATTTTTCTTAATACTATTAGTATAGATAGTATTATAAAATAAATTTGATTATGACCCGACGGTTTAAGAAAATTGGCTGGTTAAATGTACGCTTTATCCAATTGATAGAGCTACAGTATAGGACGCTATGGGGTAGGATTCTATTTCTGCCAGCGTCTTGAAAAAATAAACTTATATTTTTCACCATGATAGGGGATAAAATACATTGAGCAAGGCATTCACTTATTGAAAGGTGAAATGTTAACGATGTACTGTCGACCTGTTTTGGCTTTGGAAATTCGGAAATCCGCAGACTGTAGCCGAAACGTAATCAAACTTCGGCTTGGCGTGACGGCTTTGTATCTGTTGCTTTTCTCAATTTTTATTTATTATAAGCACATCCACATATAAATAATGACTCGAGAACCACCAGTCAAAACAAACCAACTAATTGAGTTTTGATGTCGGGCTGTAAATTAGAATCGGCTTTGCGTTGATTTATGGCTGGATTATCGCGAGATTGTTCAGTCAATGCTGGTCCGTATCTGTTGGTCTTGTATTTATATAAGCTTCCTGTATCACAGAGAAACCAATGTATTTGTTATACACGTTTACAAACTGAGAAAGTGAACGTATTAAAACATTTTATTGACCATCTCTTATCTCAACTATTCAACTGAAATCGAATCATAAATAATTCATTTGTTTCTGAAGCTACGTCGTACTTATGAACGTTAAATGAGGTAATAATTAAAAAACTGTAAATGTAAATTAACTAACAGTTCCCAAATTAAGTGTAAAATGAACGAGAACTGGCAAGAAACTCGCCGCCTATCTCAAATCTAATATTAATAATAAATAAGCTGATCCGCCAAAAAATGTTTTATTTGCAACATTTTTAAATAAAACTTAATAAAAAGAGAATTATTCTTATTTTTAAGTCACCGGTCTCCCCGTGACCACGGCTGCTACAAAGCAACCGAAACGTCAGGCCGTAGTTAAACATAAAAATAATTCTCAAACAAATTTAACTATGATATATCGCGTTTTTAACCGTTAAAGTGTTTTATTTAAATGTGATCTACTCGCGTAAACTACATTAATATTATAGGTTTTATACAACTACAATAATTGGTAATAATGCATTAATTTCTGTCAAATTTGATTAGCATAAACATATACTGTCTTGGACTGTCTGTATTTAATATATTTTTCAAACTCAACGAAAACTTTAAAAAAAACTTCTTACCTTTAATCAATTAACTATTAATATAAAACACATTTAACTCTTAAAAATACGACGTGGTGTGGTGACGTTCCAAAATGTCGGGCCTTAATTTAAACAAATTAAAAATAAGTTAATATTACGCGTTCTAAACCGTATTGTTTTTAACTCGATCAATTGACTAATTTGATTAGTTTAGTAATACAAAACTGTCTTCAGATGCTCTGCAGCCGTGTTCACGGGGGTGAAAAAAATACAGATAATATTAAATTTTCGACAATCTGTGTTCGATTTTGCTATAAACAGTACAAATAGAGAATTTCCGTCACGTAGGTAAACAATAAAAGCCGTCTCAGGTGCGTGGAGCTTGGAACTTGGGTTAACATCGGTACCATGTGCTATTTACGGCTTTCAGATCAGATTAGGATTTTGTGAGGAAATCTTTGTAGTCGTTTAGTGAAACGGGAAGTTTTTATCTCCCTTAATACCTTTTACCTGAAATATATATATATATATACAGAAGTATTTGCTAAATACAAAGCTGGTAAATAAATTAATTAAGTATTGTCTGTAGTTTATGCAAGTAAACACTTAAATAAAATACTTTTAAGTTACTAGATAAAGATAATTCATTCTGGAAGGAAATTTTTAATATATATAATAATGTTTTCAAATGAATGTTTAGCTAACTTCTGTTATATTATTTATAGTTTTCCCGTGATTTAAACCCGGGTCTCCCCATCATAGAAAGTTCTACAGAGTTGCCGAGAAATGAAAGAATTAGTTATTGAGAAATAACATTTATTTTTATGTTATTTACGTAAAATATAATTTATTAACTTAATTTACCCACCACCATACACTTTTTTAATATAAGGGCCTAGCTGACTTTTATTTGGGAGAAGCGTGAATTTAAAACTATTATTAAATAAATCACTTAAACAGTTTTAAACGACGAATGTTTTTATTTGGCGTTTCAAACCGTTAATAGTGTTTTATTTAACGTTCAAACTATCATCTAAAATTATAACATTATAGGCTAGTCAACCGGTAAACACAGCGATTGTCATTAAAATGCTTTGTTAAGACATACAGAAGTTATAGCCAGGATAATTACAAAACGATAACGATGTGATCGACACATAGTGTATTTTTTCTAACTTGGCAAAAGAACACAACGAATACGGCCGATTTCAAACCATAGAGAACTAGTAAAGACCTTTTATAGAGTGAAGTTGTTGTCACAGATAAAGAAATATCTAATATATATATATATAAAAGGATCAAACGACATCAATATTCAAAACCACATTTATGACGATTTTTTTTTTTAGTTTTGTCATGATTATTTAACTCTACATTGGTAATACTTTTTAGCGATCGTACATAAGTGGGACTTCTACCGTCTATTGTCGTTGACTTCGCTTCCATCCCATCCTTATGTTAATGTCAAACTAAAGAAATTTTTTTCTGTCCATTTGTGTCGATTCATTGTTAGGATTTATTTCCTATGAGAGACTTGTGTCCAGTCCAGCCTGTACATCGAACCTTTGTTCATTGTCATGGCCACCGCCTGTTAAATATTATATGTCTGCCATAATTTCCTCCAAAATAGTCTCCATAGATGGTGCCCATTTCAGGTCGTGTATTTTTCTTCGGAAGCACTTGGCTATCTCCAGGGTTTTCATGCAGTCGTCGCTGTTGTCTTGCTGTGCGTTTTCACATTCGTGAATCATGGTAACCAGCTGCTTTGCCACATCATCGTCTAAAATGAAAATGTTTGTTACTTTCCATAATTGTTCAATAATTCCATAGTTTAGTGCATTACGAGGTTTGTGTCCCGAACGGCTTTTCGTTTCCCCATCCCCCATTTAATGCCCAGATTTACAATTTTCGTCCAGCATCAGATCACAAGAATTATAAATGAATAGATTTTTTAAATAAAACTTTTTTAACGGTTTAAAAAGCGAAATATATTAGTTAAACTTGTTTAAAAATTATTTTTACCTACGTCACGACGTTTTGCATGCTTAGCAGTAGCCATGGTCATGGGGGGAATAAAGATGGACTGGCCGAGTACTTGCGAAATTTTAAATCTGAAGCCAAATACCAACTACGACGGAACAGATGGTACTAGCGTAGCCGCTTTTACTTTGACGTTAGAGACACCCTTCATCTTTAGTCTCCCCGAGACCATGGATTCTGCTAAGTATTAGAAACGTCGGGCCGCAGTGGAAAATAATTTGTAAGCAAGTTTAACAAATATATTCCGTGTTTTAAGGCGTTAAAATGTTTTAATTTAAATATGTACTAGTCGCGTAATCCAGAGGTAGTATTTAATCAATTGTTTATTAGAGAACTTGTGTCAAATATTATTCTCAAATCCCTTGTTTAGGGCTATATATATAATACTTTAATAACTTCATTTCGTGAAAAATACCCACCGGCTCCATGACTCTTCGCGAATTCGTGTGCCTTTCCATGATGTAGTTTCATGTCCTCGGTTATGAGGTCATGCTTGGAAGCCATACACATGATGGCACAACCCGTATCTCGATTTATCAGCTCGTATTCTTCCCGCCAGTAATTTATGAAGTCTTGTATTATGTGGTTGCCCAGGTTGAGCTAGAAGGAATGAAAGGATTATCGATGCGGTCTGATCAGCTGATGCAGCATCACCTCTAAGAAATTAAATGCATTTTAAATAAAACACTTTAAGTATTTAAAACGCAAAATTTTTTAACTAATTATTATTTAGAGACTCCTCGTGACCACGGCGTATACAAAACATCCGAAGCGTCGAGCCGTATAAATAATTTTCAAATAAGTTTAAATAATATATTTCGCGTTTTAAACCGTTAAAGTGTTTTATTTAAATATGTACTACTCGCGTACACTACAGAAACTATTCAAATCAAATATCATTAGGCAACGTTAAAATTGACCGCTACTATAGCTTACCTACTGTAATAGTTAAGAGTATTTTGTAAAGCACAATCAAATCTTGGGAAGGAAATAAAATGTTTTGGTCAGGGCACAGAAGTCGGATAAACAATCCAGTTCATAAAACTATTAGTCAAACGAAGGCAGATATGGTCGCCCTACCCCGCAGGGAAAAGCATTATTTTACTTTGTACGATTTGTCCGTTGATGACATGGAATCAAACCCAAGAAAGTAAGTTAATTTACCTCTTTCTTACACTCCTCCATGGCCTTGGTAAAACCTGTAGTAAGTTGCTTCATAACCTCTTGAGACGCCATGACCTGACTGCACTGCAAGACACAAACCCATAGCGCCAAGTAGCGCCATTTTGTTTTCGCCGCCATCTTTCCAAATGGCTTAAGATTCCAAAGTCGCTGGCTTTTATAGCTCAATTTTATTTAATAAACTGTTGGATAAGATGGTTCCGTATATTTTTAATTTCCTAGACTTCATAGACTTGAATATTGTTGGTTAATTCTGTAAATTACTACAATATCCACAGAGTTGTAATATCCTGGGTTTGACTTCCCGAGAAACGTAAAAAACCACTAGTGTATGACACGAAAGCTGGTTTGGCAGGCACGGACTTAGCTGTAAATTCAAATCAAATGATACGGATTAACATTTATTCTTCACATGTTATTGCACATGATGGCACTGTATATATTGAAAATCTTATTTAAAAATATATATATATTATAAATTTTAATTTCAAATGTAGTGTAGGATGACGTGGAGCTCGACATTCGTTAGAGCAACGGTGCCGGTTCATGTCCTGCATAAGCCGTAATTTTTTTTAAATTCTTATTAGATACGGATCCACTTAGGTAATAGTAGATTAATCTTCTAGTAGATCAACTATTATACCTACCATTAATTTAGATTGTATAATTTGTTTAAGCAGCCACATTTGGATCATAACTGGCACACAACACAGTTTTTTTGTTGGTTAGTTCAATTCTGGCGCTTGTCATTGTTGTCTCAATTTTCACACTGCGCATCCCCAAACGCCTACACCAGAATTATTGTCCATCGACAATAATTATCGGGCAGAGGTGCTCAGAACGTCCGGAAATTTGCAGATTAGGTCTCTGCAATTAAACCGCTACCATTGTATTAGACCGATGCGTAATAAGACGTGGTTTCACATTCAATTACTACGAGTGAAGTGCATTATTAATTGATAAACCGGAAGGGAATATGCATGGAAGAAATTAAACAGAAATTTTAATTTTATCACCCAAATTAACTCATGTAATATACAATTATATCTTTTTTAAATAAAACACTTTAACGGTTTAAAAAAAACTTATTTGAAAATATTGGGGATTTGTGCAAAGATCCAAAAAAAATCAAAAAGTTTAACAAAATCGGTTTTAAACCTTAAATTTTATTTAAATGTAATGCGTAACTATAGACATATTTTACAATCAACAATAATCGATTATATATGGACCAAATGACCTTAATATTTAAAATGACTCTTATGGTAACCTAATTTTACTCCACCTGTGTCTTTTATTTTGTATAAAAAAACTATTTAAACTTAAAATTGAAACAAACATACTAAATGTGTGCATTAAAGAATTGTATTTTTTCGAAAACTTTATAAAACCCATGAAGAATCGTTAAGCTCGTGCGTCATTAATAACGTTATGTATTTACTTTTAAATAAAACACATTTAACGGTTTAAAACGCGAAATATACCTATCCAATTATGTTTAGTTTATTTTATCTATGACCGGAGGTTTCAGCAGATTTGGCTTGACGAACACTTCATCTTTATAAAATCGGGTTTTAAACCCTTACATGTTTTATTTAAATATGTACCAACTCGTGTACAGCAATACATCGTCAATGCTACCAAGTTAAAAGCTCGTTATATTGATTCAAGTTTTCTCAAAACATAAATAATTCAATATTTAAATCCTGGTCTAATCTCTGTAAGATCGATTGATAATGAAATGACAATAAAAGGAAATAGTTTTAATGGCTTTCTTAAAGATTGGATTACACGCAATGCGTTTTAACTTTTGCTTACATAAGTAATTAAGTAGATTATTTTACTTATTGTTTTTATTAAAAACTAGCAGTGTCAGCGACTTTGTTCGCGTATAATAGTTATTTTGGACATCAAAATTTTGCTAACCCCCTCTTTATAGATTTAAGCTAATGCACAAAATCAGTCACGACCTGTATGTCGTTCTTGTGGTGGACATTTTTTTGGGTCGTTACAAGAGAAACCATTCTTTCATACATATTTTTGGGTCTCTTGAACCGTTTTGCAGCGTATGCATCGGAAACCCACAAAGATGAATTTTCCCCTTTTTTTTCACATTTTCCACTGTTTTTTTTTCGCTCGTATTAGTCACAGAGACATGTTTCATAGCCTTCTTTGATACAGGCTCTAACCAACACAAAAATATCCCCGTTTTTTCCCCATTGTTCCCCTTCTTCTTTGTTCATTTTGGTTGCAGTTTTATGTTATATTATGTTGCGAACAATAGGCCTCGATAAATGATCCCCCCACACACACAACACAAAAATATTTTTTCAATTTCCTCCAGTAGTTCCTGAGGTTAGCGCGATCAAACAAACAAACTCTTTAGCTTTATATATTAGTATAGATTAAGTAGACGTGTCTATTGTTTTAATTAAAAAAAACAAAAAGACGTTTTTAATGAGTTCATTAATAATGTATTTTTTCCCTAACGAAGTTTAGAGTTCAAGCGATGTAACTGTTGTAAACCAATTAAATTCTCTGTAAATAAACGGCCTAACGTGACAAAGGGTTACGTCACGTGACACGTATAATTGCGTGTTTCGCCGTGACACGACAATGTGTTTAGAAGTACATTTACTTAAATACCACTGAATATGCCCCGCGGCTGTGACTGTCTCCATTGTATCAGCGCCTTAACAGACACAACGATAAGCATTGTCTGTAGTTACACATTTAGATAAAACACTTTTTACGATTCAAAACGTGAAATATAACAACTCTCTGTGGCCACGGCTGCCGACGCCGTCGGGTTAAATTAAATAAAAAATGATCTAACTAACGTCGATCTTTACACAGTAGTTTTTTTTAACAAAGTCGATTTAATAGTGTTTTCTCTACTCGGGAATTTCCCGAAATATTAGATTAGCAAATGAAACTGTTTTGAATTTATACTTTTTAATTATTACAGCAAAGACGAGTCAAGTAATTAAAGTTTCAAAACATTTCCAAAACGCCAAATCCACAGGCTGTAGGCATTACTTATGTATTTTTTAAATGCGAAAGCTACTTTCAACTACGCAAAAAAAACCGAGTGCCAACGAATGATGAACGCGTTTGAAAGAAAATATAATAGTTAACTTAAAAAAAAAAAAAAAAGGGGGGGGGGGGGGGGGGGGGGGGGGGAAAAAAAAAAAAGGGAAAAAAAGGGGGGGGGGGGGGGGGGGGGGGGGGGGGAAAAAAAAAAAAAAAAAAAAAAAAAGGGGGGAGGAGAAAAAAAAAAAAAAAAAAAAAGGGGGGGGGGGGGGGGGGGGGGGGGGGGGGGGGGGGGGGGGGGGGGGGGGGGGGGGGGGGGGGGGGGGGGGGGGGGGGGGGGGGGGGGGGGGGGGGGGGGGGGGGGGGGGGGGGGGGGGGGGGGGGGGGGGGGGGGGGGGGGGGGGGGGGGGGGGGGGGGGGAAAAAAAAAAAAAAAAAAAGGGGGGGGGGGGGGGGGGGGGGGGGGGGGGGGGGGGGGGGGGGGGGGGGGGGGGGCCGGGGGGGGGGGGGGGGGGGGGGGGGGGGGAAAAGGGGGGGGGAAAAAAAAGGGGAAGAGAAACCCCCCCCCCCCCAAAAAAAAAAAAAAAGGGGGGGGGGGGGGGGGGGAAAAAAAAAAAAAAAAAAAAGGGGGGGGAAAAGAAAAAAAAAAAAAAAAAAAAAAAAAAAGGGGGGGGGGGGGGGGAGGGGGCGGGAGGGGGGAAAAAGAAAAACAAAAAAAGGGAAAAAAAAAAAGGGGGGGGGGGGAAGGGGGAAAAAAAAAAAAAAAAAAGGAAAAAAAAAAACCCCCCCAACCCCCCCCCCCCCCCCCCCCCCCCCAAAAAAAAAAAAAAAAAAGGGGGGGGGGGGGAAAAAAAAAAAAAATGGGGGGGGGGGGGAAAAAAAAAAAACCCCCAAAGGGGGGGGGGGGGGGGGGAAAAAAAAAAAAACCCACCAAACAAAAAAAACCCCCCGGAAAGGGGGGGGGGGGGGGGGAAAAAAAAAAAAAAAAATTTTTAACTAAAAATATTTAACTTACACAATTTCTTTTGAGTAAAGCCCGCCATGGTCACGGGGGGCAGAAGAAAGAAAGTAAATACATATGTGTATACACTCGTAAACTACAATCTGTCCGTAACAATTGTGTATTATACTTTAATTAATTAATAAATACATCTTTAAATTATTGCTTGTTAGCTTCAAGAGCCTTTGCCATATTTTGATATTAAAATAAACGAGTCTCGTCCCGTGCTGTACAGTGGAAACGAGCCGCCATTAACTAAGTGTGCCCAGATATGCGGCGTGAAGCAAAGATTAGTCTTCATTAACATAAGAGCTCGTTTATCAACGCAAATCTGAGCTTATCGCAGGAACTTTGAAGACCAGATTAATGTCTACTTCGTTGTTTTATGGTTTTGTGAAGGCCTGCAAAGGCTTTCGCGTTTCGATGTAAAGAAATATCATTGTGATGTTCACTAAGTACCTTAGTAGTTGAATATTGAAGAGATGTATTTTGAACTAAATAATGGATGGCACAGACGCGATTCGAGCCAAGACCGACATAAAAATCAAGGAATACGTTGATTTGGACAAAAGGTTTGAGTAACCATTTTGGCTGTGATTAGAAAAATATGAAGAGTAAATACTGTCTGTAGTCTACGCGGGTAGTACACATTTAAATAAAACAATTTAATAGTTAAAACGCGATATAGTTTAGTTAAACTTGTTTAGAAATTATTTTTAACTACAGCCCGACGTTTCGGATGCTTTGCAGCCGTGGTCACGGTAAGTCTCCCCGTTTGCACAAGTACTACTAAACTGTACTACAAGTTTAACTAAAATATATCGTGTTTTAAATCGTTAAAGTGTTTTATTTAAAATAACATTAATTCTTATTTTTGTGTCGGTTTTTTAACTGTATCAACATTTTTGATATAACAGGTACAATTATTCTGAATGCATAAGTTTTATGAAACATATTGGATTTCGTCATTTATATATACTGGCTTCATATGCCACATATATAACATGTGAAAAATATTTAAGTTTTCAAACGATATAAATGTGTAATTTAATCTTTCTTAAACTGCAAAGCATAAGACGTTGAACCTT